ATATGGTAAAGGGGTGTCCCAGAAAGTACATAATTTTTTATATCAATACGCTTAGAAGGTATCTAGTTGAAATGCATGCTACTCTGTGTGAGTTGAGCCATTATGAACATGATCATAATGCTTGTCCTATATATGTTCAAGGAACCCTCGTGGGTGTGCAGTTATGAAAAGATATTTTCAAGAAATGCTTGATAAGAATTTGATTCAGATTACTGCGGATAGAAATGAAGATGATCATGTGAATGTTATTGTTCCACACTTCAATATTCTGGAACCTGTGGTTATTTCTTATAATATTCAAAAGTCTGCTACTTCTCCTTTGGTTATTCGCTTGGCGGGTCCTACGCCTCATGTTTTTGATAAAGATGTTCCATACAAGTATAATGCTACAATGGTAGAAGATGGTAAGGAAGTCCATATTCTTTCTCTTTCTTCTATGGTAAGCATTGCTAATGTTAGCAGGGTGACCAAAAATGGTTGAGTATTTGCCTCCAAACCTCTAAAAAGAGCAGAAGATCTCTGTGTGAGAAAGCGGGTTCAAGTTGACAATTGTTGTGCAATCTGGTGAATTTAGTGGTGTGAATCAAAAGTCTAATGTTGATGAGGTGTTAAAATTGATCAAGAAGAATGAGTACAATATAGTTGATCAGTTGTTGCATACACTATCCAAGATATCTGTTTTATCCTTGTTAATGAGCTCTGAGGCTCATAGAGAGGCCTTGCAAAAGGTTCTAGAGCAAGCTAGTGTATATCACAACGTGATGGTTGATCAGTTTGATGGTATTGTGGCAAATATTACCTCATGCAAAAACTTTATTTTTTGTGATGAGGAATTTCCCGAAGAGGGGAGAAATCATAACTTAGCATTGCACATCTCCATGAATTGCCAAGTTGTTTTGTCTAATGTGTTGGTTGACACTGGCTCATCTTTGAATGTTATGCCAAAATATACTCTGTCCAGACTCTCCTATCAAGGTGCTCCTGTGAGGTATAGTGGAGTGGTTGTTAAAGATTTTGACAATTCAAAAAAGACGGTGATTGGGGAAGTTGATCTTCCAATCCAGATAGGTCTGTGCTCATTTCATATTACTTTTCCAGTGAAGGACATTCGTCCTACCTATAGCTGCCTTCTGGATCGTCCATGGATTCATGAGACTGGAGCTGTCACTTCGACACTCCACCAAACACTGAAATTTATGAAGAACAGGAAGCTAGTTGTGGTTGGTGGCGAACAAGCTATGTTGGTCAGACATCTCTCATCTTTTTCATATATTGATTTCGACGAAGCTGTGGGAACTCCATTACAGGCTCTTTTTGTCATTGATGATACTGTTAAGAAGAATGGAGCCTTCATGTCTTCTATGAAGGATGCTCAACATATTGTGGATAATGGCTCATCTGTTGGTTGGGGTCAAATCATTGAGTTTGCTGAAAATAAGAATAGGGTTGGTTTGGGTTTCTCGCCTGGTTTAACCCGAAGAGAATTGAAGCATATCCAAGAGGTGTTTCACAGCGCCGGATTTATACATGCCAAAGATCAGTCTGCTGTTGCTATCTTTGAAGATGACTCAAATGAGGATTTGCTGAACTTTGTAATGCATGGAATGGTCTCTCAGAATTGGATTGTCGTTGACGTTCCTACTGTTGTTCATGCCTCAAAGTAATTTGTTTTTGTTATTTTCAAAATCCTTTCACTCTGCCCAAGGTGAAAGTGAATCTTTGTGGGCTTTGTTTCAGACTTTATCATCATTAATAAAATGTTATTTCGTTATCCATTTATGTTTTCTCTTTTTTCTTTTTTTGAAAAATTGTAACATAAAAAACCTGAGATAATAATCATTTTTATATCTGCATAGTACTTTCATTTTATTTTTCTTTCTAAATTCAAACATAAAATTATTGTGCATATTGACTATTAAACCCATTAAAAATAATGACCATATGCTCTCTCCCAACTTTGAACTCCCTGTGTTTGAAGTTGAAGAAGAGGATGTTGAAGAGATTCCTAATGAAATTTCTCGGTTGCTTGAGCACGAGGGAAAATCCATTCATCCTCATGAAGAGTTAATTGAAATGATTAACTTGGGTTTCGAAGATGTTAAGAAGGAAGTCAAGATTGGGGCACTTCTCAATTCAGATGTTAAGAAGAGGCTGGTAGAGCTTCTCAGAAAATATGTGGATGTATTTTCTTTGTCCTATCAAGATATTCTAGGTTTTGATACTGATATTGTGAAGCATTGATTGTCGTTGAAGCCTGAATGTCCACCAGTAAAGAAAAAGTTGAGAAGAACTCACCCCGACATGGTTGTTAAGATCAAAGAGGAGGTTCAGAAGTAGATTGACGCAGGTTTCCTTGCGACTGCTGAATATCCTCAATGGGTGGCCAATATTGTTCTTGTTCCTAAGAAAGACGGAAAAGTCTGAATGTGCGTTGACTATAGAGATTTGAATAAAGCAAGTATGAAAGATGATTTTCCATTACCACACATTGATATAATGATAGATAACACTGCTAAATTCAATATCTTCTAATTTATGGGTGGATTTTCTGGTGACTGGTTCACCGGAGAAGAAGATCAGAGAGGTTGGGACGATAACTGAGGTGTCATACACGTTGGCATTTTGTTTTAATTTGATTGGTCCATATCAAATTTGATTTTGTGTTATTTCCAATAATTTCCATCGTGTTCCCTCGTGTGAATGCCATCAGATTTGCCACATCAATTAATGCGGCTAGATCTGATGCGCCTTATTTTTTCTCATTTATTTTTTTTTCTGATTTTTATTTTTAAATTGCATTTTCTTCAAAAATTCATAGAAATTTCATTTTTAATCCAAAAAATCCCAAAATAATTTCAAAAATTCTCTTTTATTTTTCTCTTTCTGATTTTATATTTTTCATATCTTATTTTCATCATTTTTATTTTTTTTCAGGAGTTTTCTCATTTTTGAAGCATTTTAAATTGTTTAAAATTATTTTTATGCATTAAAAATTCTCAAAACTTTTGTATATCATTCTTGACTTGTTTCTGACTTGCATGATTTTTCTTGGTCATTTGTGATTTTATTTGATGCATTATTTGCATTTTCATCTTTATTTTCATTTTAAAAATCTTTTTAGCGCATTTTGATTCATATTCTTGAATTTTTATACTTGTTTAACTTGTGTTGACTGCTGTTGGCCTTGGATCTTGGTTGATTTAGTCACAAGTCTCATCAAACTCAATGGATCTTGGGTGTTGATAGGGTGAATACCCTAATCCACCAAAATGGATAATTGATTTTAATGATGACTTGATCATCACTTGGATCCAATTTGGTTTTGCCTTTTTGTTTGATCATCTCTTCTTCATCCGTTTCTTTTTTATTTTCCATCTTTCTTTTAATCAATTGGAAGATGTGTAGGCCATCTTTTTCATGAGATCTTGAATGGTACTTGATGAAATTTCATCATTTCAAATCTACCATTTGATCAATTGAGGTACTTTGGATTGATGCATAAGTTTATCCAAAGTACTATGAGAGGATAATTGATATAATGGAACCATCTTTCCTTGACTTAGGTCTTGATCCACCTTGTTTTGACTTGTGCTACACGTTTTAGGAGTATGATCTTTATCTCATATCTCTAACATGTATGGTACATAAATTGTTATTGGTCGGTCTCCCATAGTATGATCTTCTTTATAGGTTGTGCTATGATTGCTTAACATAGCGCTAAATTTGTCCCTAATCAAAAAGTGATCATATTGGTCCAATTTTAGGTATGAGTCATTTTTTGTTTAGATGTAAATCTTCTATCTCCATAGTGTGTAGATTCTTTTCCACCTAAGAGAGCTAGTGGCATACTTGTTGATTTTATCCAAGTTGGAGCCCTTCTCAAAGGATGATGCAAAGTTCTCACGCTTGTAGGGTTGATTAGTTGAGTAATCTACTTTAAATGACAAAATGTCTTCATTAATACTAACACTAACTTTAATTGTACTAACTTTTACTTTATGCCCTTTATTTTTATGCACCATTTATCTTTATGCTATTTATCTTTATAATTTTTTTATGCTCTTTATTTTATGTTTATCATTTCATATCATATTATCGTCTTGTTTATGTTTATGCATTTTTCTCTGTCTATTTGGACTTTTTTTCTTTTTAAGACATTAATAAAGGCTAAACACCATTAAGAAAAACTCTTAATGCTCCTTGGACTATTTGGTAACTATCTTTTGCTTATGGATGATGGACTTAGAATTAGGATCACCGCCTTATGCTTTAAAGTTATATCTTGAGACCTTAGATCTTACTTGGCACTTTGACCTTGAGTTGACCTCTTGTGAAGACTTAGCTTGGAGATTTGACTTTCATCCGATGCTTAGTTATTTCTCTGCTTGTTATTGCTTATCTTATTGCTTGAGTCCAAAATATGGGAGTTTTGGCTTGCCTATGTCAAGGAATTGTTCTTGGTTAGATATTTCATTCCTTAGCTTTTATTTTATGCTTTAGGATAGCCTCTTAATCTCCTCCCCTTCTTAAATTTTCAAAATCTTCTCCATTTTCTAAAACTTTCTTTTTTTCAAACTAGAATCACTTTCTTAATCAACTTTGACTTTGTCAAGTGCATTTTCAAACTTCATTTTTTTAATAAATGTTAATCAATCTTAAGCAAGCTTAGACCATTTTCAAAAGACTTAAAAATATAAAACTAATTCAAACCACTTTGTGCCTTTTGTGCACTTTTTGCTTTTAAAACTTTTCATAAAATTTAGACATGAGTCATTTCCATAGTTGAGATGTGATTCTCATATCCCCATAGTATTGTTTGAAATGAGTTGATTATTTTTCACCTTAGAGAGTTGATTATCTCTCACAATAAGTTTTTGGCACCAATTGCATCTCAAGATAATTTCATCTTCAACTTCAGCTCCAAAAATTAAAAGCTTTATCTGCGGAATTGTAGTCTTTTAGATAGAAACATTCCTTTACCATCTGCATCCAATACAAAAATGCTATCTTCTCTCATCTTCCTTGATATCTCGTTCAATATGCTGAAATCTTCAGTGATATTTCATTGGCTTTTCAATTTCACCATCAATCTTCATAGGCTTCACCTGTCAAATAACATGTTGCAAGGTCCCATTCCTAATCATTTTGGCAACAGATTGAACTCTCTTAAATATCCGGATCTCTCTTATAACCAACTGCAAGGCGACATTCAAACATCCTTCGGGAACATAAGCACATTGCAATTTCTATCACTTTCTGAAAATGAATTATATGGGAAAATACCTAAAAGTATTGGCTTGCTATCTATGTTGGAGCGTCTCATCTTAAACAAGAACTCCTTGGAGGGTGAAATCGATGAATCACATTTTGCTAGCTTGTCCAATTTAAAAAGGTTAGAACTGTCATACAATTCTCTTTCTCTAAAATTTGGCACAAGTTGGGTACCACCATTCCAATTATTTAGATTAGAACTAGCATCTTGTAGGTTGGGTCCAAGTTTTCCAAGTTGGCTTCAGACACAGTTACTTGTTGAGTCTAAATATTTCTAATGCAGGGATCGTTGATTCCGTACCAGTGTGGTTCTGGCAGATGTCACAAAATATGTATGCATTGAATATTTCCTACAACAGCTTGAGAGGCACCATTCCAGACTTGCCTCTGGCATTTACTTATTTTCCCATATTGACTTTGACTTCAAACAAATTTGAAAGTTCAGTTCTGTATTTATGCTGAGAGCGGCAACATTGCATCTCTCCCATAATAGATTCACAATTTTGGACTCACTTTTATGTGACCAAAATTCAGTCAATTCCTTGGGAATTTTAGATGTATCAAACAATCAACTGAAGGGTAGGATACCTGATTGTTGGGATAATCTCAAGTCATTACAGTATCTTGATCTAAGCAATAATAAATTGTCTGGAAAGATTCCACTATCTTTAGGCACCCTTGTGAATTTGAAGGCTTTGGTTCTTCACAATAACAGTTTAATTGGGGTGCTACCTTCCTCCATGAAGAATTTGACCAATTTAACAATGCTAGATGTCAGTGAAAATAAATTGTCTGGTTCAATTCCTTCATGGATTGGGGAAAACCTACACCAATTAGTTGTCTTGAGTTTACGTATCAATCACTTTGTTGGAAGTTTACCATCAGAGATTTGTTATCTTTCTCAGATTAAACTATTGGATCTTTCAGATAATCATATATCAGACCAAATTCCAAAATGTTTACACAACTTTACTGTTATGGCTGCAATAAGTATGAACATGACTGTGAGTGATAATGAGTCATAACTATGATAACAATATAACTGGAAGTAGGTATGTGGAAGGGCGTAGAAGACGCGTTCAAGAATCCAGAGCTGCTTTTAAAGAGCATTAATCTGTCAGGAAATAGTTTAACAGGAGAAATACCTAAAGAAATTGGGTCTCTATTGGGATTGGTGTCTTTAAATTTATCAAGAAACAATTTGAATGGGGAAATAATGTATGAGATTGGGAATTTGAAATCACTTGAGTTTCTTCATTTGTCTAGGAATCATTTATGTGGTGAAATTCCTTCCAGCCTTGTTAAAATTGATCGTTTAAGTGTAATGGATTTATCAAACAATAATCTGATTGGTAAAATCCCAATTGGAACTCAGTTACAAAGCTTTGGTGAATCTAGTTACCAAGGAAATCTAGATCTTTGTGGAAAGCCACTGGAAAAAGCATGCTCAGAAGATGATGTGCCATCATTGCTGTCTGATAATGAGATTGAGGATGAGGATGAGGAGTCAATTTTCTATGAAACATTTTACATGAGTTTAGGAGTTGGATTCAGTGTTGGACTTTGGGGATTCTTTGGATCAATATTATTTTGTCGCTCTTGGAGATATACCTATATCAGGTTCTTAAAACGGATTCATTGACTCGTTTACATTCAGATTCAATCGGTGGCACACTATATAGAAAGGTAGTATTCATTTTTCATTAGTTTTTCTTCTTTGATTGTTCAATACTAGCATATGTTTTTATGTAACCATAGAAGTGTAACTAAAATAGACTTTGTAAAACTTTTCTTAATTGGTTTGTAAATATTAATACTTTTCACGTTAGATGTACATATGTGTATGTTAGTTGACATATTCATATCTCTTTGCAATAAAAGAGAGGGTAGAGGAGTGAGTAAAGCATTGAGAAAGCAGTTAATAAACAGTTAGGAGAAGAAATTCTCTTGTTAGGAGTTCTAGTAACTAATGTTTATCTTTTCATTTACTGTTTTCCACCATTGTAGAGTTCTTAAGCTCACCGTTTTCTTGGGATACTCTTTGCTCTGATTACCACCTTGACGACAAGGTGTCTTTTCAAGCACCAGGGGATGTTAGCACAAGTACAGACACAGGCTCTAACACAGGTGCAGACATAAACCCATATACAATGCCTTAAAGCAGGCCCAAGAGAACCATCAACAGGCCCAAGTGACTAGAATATTGTGTGTAGTGCAGCAACCTCCACTATGTGCAAACAACATGCCTCGAGACTAAGAAGATTTCAAGTTTATTAGGATCATATCTAACACTATCAGATGTACTAGATTTTCCATTCCTAAAATTGTGGGATTCATTTAGTATGTATCAGCCATTAGATTTACACACTTGCTATATATAGACCTGTTATCATGAATGAAAAGGGCACAGAAAGAAGTTATTTCCATTTCTTACCTAACAATTTTTTTCCTTCTAGCTTTCTATTCTCTCGGAAAGTGGAAACATATATTTCAACAAATTTTCTTTCCTTCTAACTTTCTATCCACTCACTTTACCTAGAACCAAACAATGTGTAAAGGTGCATGCACTTTTTAGATTTTGATCTTGAAAGCTTCAAGTTCTGAAAAGCATCAAATCATGGAAATTTAATTATGTCATAGGAGAATGAGTTTCTAACATCACTTGAGTCTCATCATTTCTCTATCCCAAAACAGTATTTACCCAAATATTACAATTACCTTTTTCTCATGTAACATATAGGAAGAATCAATACGCTGGAACTCAATTTATATCAAGTGAAATAGAGCTCAGTGACTTTACCTACAAAATATAGATGTTGAAACATGCCTGCGTCTCTAAAACCTTGGTATTGACTGTGCACTAACTACGAGGATACAAATAAGTGAATAACTCATCCTTTTTTCCTTGACAAGTCTTCAACTAATAAAAATAACCTTGCTGCATCTGGCCTAATGATTTAACATTCCAAAAACTTTCATGAAGAAAGCATATTCATAAGCTGTTTCGTCGCACTGAGCATAGCGACCACCTTCACCAAAATGGCCCCCTATCATACTTGTTTTCATGATTACAGTAAGAGAACAACGAGAGCATGTACTATCTCGTACTTTCGCTACCCACTTAGCACCTTCCCAAACTCCAACCCTGAGAACGAATGTCAATTGTTAACATCAACTTCTTTGAAGCAACTAAAAGTAGATAAAAATGCATATAGCTCTCAAGACGTAAAGAATGCATATGAATATTTTGTGCATGTGTGTGTCATCCTTCATGTAATAGACCATTGGGAAGAGTGAGATTGCCTTGAATCATTAACTGCTGCTGTAACCATAACTGAAGGAAAGCAACAACCTTGTGGAATGTTGTCATAAGGAGAAAAACTAATAATAGAATCAAAGTTCGATTGAATTCCAGGATTTCCAAATTCTTCATAATCCAGAATTGTGAGGGGTAGATTGGGATCCAACAATGTGTTGCATACATCAATAAACGGTACCTGATATATACAACCCATTCGAGTATCACAAGAAATAAATTAAAATAAGAAATTATGGATCAAGAATGCAAAATAAGTGAATTTATTTTCTAATATTCATAAAAATTTGAAACATAGAAAGCCAAGCAGGGATGATTATATCAAACTTACCTTTAATATGCTGGCTCGGAAGAGTTGTGGATACATATTCATAGCTGCGCCAACAAGAAGGCAGCCTGCACTGGTTCCAACAGCACCAAGCTGGTCTCTGTGGACATAACCCTCGTTAACCAGGTAGTTTCCACAAGATACAAAGTCAGATATTGAATTTTGTTTGTTTAATCCACATCCTGATTTATGCCATGAACGACCTCCACCACCACCACCTCTAGTGCAATACACATGATCGGATAATAAAAAAATATGGATATGTAAGTTAGATATATCATAATAGAAACTTCCAATCTATTACGGTCAACATGATTATATAAACAAAACCCGATACGCAAAACATTCACTTTCGATGATTTCAAACAACCAACCTTACATCAGCAAATGCCAATACCCAACCACGGTCCAATAAACTCAGGCGATCTGAACACCAACTCTTATCAAGATCTTCTCCATATGCTCCATATCCTACTAAAATTCCTGGGCTTTGACCCTTTTTCCAGGACTCCCTAGAGTACACAATGGTTAGTGGAACTTTTACACCATCATGAGAAACAACTTCCTCTCTCTGACAACAGTATACTTCTGAAAAGTCCTTCCATCTCTGTGAATCAGAATCCGAGACACACTCTTTCTTATCACCGCATGCCTGTTGGATTTTATTTTTCATTGGCTTGAATGGTGGAATGCTTGACTGACCAACAGAATCACAATTCACTTCCTCTTGATGCACAATTGAATAAGTCTGTCTTGACATGTCATAGTCAACAATAACATCTGGCATCTGTCGGCTCGCCAAGAAAAACAAGGTTAAGTTAAAGCAACTAGATGTAATACATCAACAAATATTTACTTAAATGAAATCACAAGTAATAACACCGTCAAATGCACTAAAGGATCAACTCCCATAATTATAATTAAGCTAGATGTAGATTTAGTCACATGTTTACATTCACAGGTTTAGATATAGAAGAATCCTTCTTCTGACCCATAGTGAATGTAGATAAGTGGACCTGTACTTGATAGAGCCCCTTTTGTGCCTTTATCAGAATACTAAAATTGATGATATAATACTTGTCTGATTTTGACAGCCTTTTCAAAGACTCGTAACAATGGAAAGTATTACCGACTGGGCTTAAGCCTAATCCACTGCTGGACCGTACAACCCGCTGATGAATATAAGCACTACGAACCATACTATTGAGACTCTCTAGAGGCACGCCCAAGTTAATCCAGTGATCCCACCAGTGCCATCCGATAACAATCCAACGTTGATCAATGAGATCACATCTAAGGCAATCCACGAACTCAGGAATTTCACCTGGAAAACCCTAGAGATCGTCCTATAAATACTAACTCACAATTCAAGTTAAGCTACACATTCTTTAAATTCTATAAACCTCACACCCTTGATCATCGGAGTGTTTGCGGGTGGACCACCCCCTCCATGGAGTTACTTTTTTATTTTTGAATTTCACCTTAAAATTTATGTGACAACACCTGGATCATGTTATAATGTAATATACTACATATGGTATGGAAATAAATTACAAATCATTGAAAAATGTAAATCATAAATTTTCCAAGAATACAAAATATAGAAAATTCACAATGTTAGAGAAATATGATGCTGTTCTTTGCAAATG